CTTCTAATTAATATTTCTGTACAGATCTGTAAACTGTGTAAGGCTTGTTTAACAATACAGAAATCATGTCCTATTAGATTAAGACATTTGTTTAGGAATAAAGTTCAACTTTTTCTTTGAAATCCAATTGATCTCGTTTCATGGCCTGTGAAATTATTTATTTTAAGAACTGCTTTAAAAGTATAATTAATTCTAGAAATTTCTGTGACCTGTTGCTAAATATTTAGACCACAGATTAATTGCATTGCTCAGGACTTCAAATAGCAATTTTAAAAACTCGGTGAAAAGGAAAATTCCTTAGTAGTGAGAGAAAATCTACAACAATGATAAGAGGTGATGTGTTCGTGTAATCTTTCTGTCCTATAAATGGCCTTAAAAATTCAAGAATAAACAAGAGCATTGAATTGAAAACTAAATACTCTCATCACAGTGAGAACACCCCATATGCTGTAGCCTGTGTGTTCAGCATGACTCAGAAATGTTCTTAAGAATGTGCAATTTCTTACTGCAGCTGTTAGCAAAACCTTTTTGTACGTATCATTGACATATAGGATAAAAACACTACATAAACATTTCTGAAGCCCATCACTTGATATGTGGCCAGAATGCTTCCTTCTCACTAATTAAGGTCTAGGATGTCTTTGTATAGCACACCTACTGTGCTCAAGCAGTATCTCAGAATGGGCTGGCATTCAAATTAAAATAAAGGGGTTGTCCCTTACCTTTCCATTTAGTAAATCTCTGCTTGATACTGAGAAGTGTTTTTAATTCTTGCTGCCTGTGGTACATCTGCTGAAGTGATGACAGATAATTGCAGTGTTACGGTGTTAATAGTTTTCTTCAAAACCTTTCTCCATATTTGTTTGCTTTTACTGACAAAGCTAATGGCAGTCGCTAATAAAAGTAATTATAATACCCGTGAAAGCTCACTAAAGACTGAAAGTAAACAATTTTCTTATGACGGCCTTGTAGTTTATTCTTATGTACTGATTTTAATGAGATCCGTCTGACTATTGGAAAGGAAACAAAAGCTTGCAGGGTATTTAAAAAAAACACAGCAATATTCAAACCATTTTGAAAAATTGCCTAACTGCTGTTTTATCATTTTCTGAGTGAGATCTTATAACCAGTTAGAGTTCAATTCCTAAGTAAATTTTCAGAATTCTGTGGTTCACTTTCTTCAACGTTAGTTAAAAGATGCTTAAAAGTCTTCAAAATGAACACATTGTTTTTATAACATATCAAATTCTACAGAACTGCCCTGTGGCATCAACCCATGTGCCTCGTAGTCGGGGCGCATGCAGTTGGCACCAGAACCTCGCAGGCTGCAGGCGTTGTGTTGCGGGGGCACTGGCGTTCCCATGCTGCTTGCCGTCTCCTTTCCAGCAGATCATTGTACATGTTAGCCACCTTGATAACCCATTAATCGTCACAATGTTGTCCTTTGTTTTTACTTTACAAATGGATTTTACTTACAAGTGGTTACCCCTTTCTTCTGGTCATACACCTAGTCACAGTGATCCTGGCATTTGTCACCACTGATCGAGGATAACCACTGTCTGAGGATAACCAAGAAAATAATACACAAATCTCATCTGGTACAGATTGCACTGCCTGATGTCTCCAAGATTTAATCAGATGTAAGCCTCTCGGCAGCAATAATCCGAATCCTTATGATTCCCACTCTATTTGTGATGCTAGCTGGAAGGTTCAGTATGAGTCTTTGAATCAAGTGAAGAATGCAGATGCACTTAAACAGCAAATCGTTATCCCACAAATTTCCATGACTGCTGTGCAGCCTTTGACCTTTAATTTGTGGGCTTCTCTAATGTGAGCTCCTGAATAGTGAATCGAATCTATTGATAACGGGCTTGATTTTCGTAATTTATTTTGCAATTATGGCTTGCTGTATTCTTGGAAAAGGTCTGCAGGGATTTATGAGCACAAGTTGAAGGCTACTGCTGCGGAAAAAATGCAAATTTTAAAGATTGGGCTCAAGTGCATGAGTACAAAACTTTTTCTGTTACAACAATCTAGTTGTGAAATTGCTTCAAAAAAGGTCACAGATATTCAGGGTCTGGCTAAGGTGCTACCAACCTCTTTCTCAAAAGTGCTTTCCATCATAGTCAGGAATGGTGGTTGTTGACGTTTTTTCCCATTTCTATGCACACATGTGTGCATGTCTAGATTGTATGGATTCCTCTCATGGAACGGTGACATTACTGTCTCTAATTGTATCAGATATCCTGTCACCTAAGCAATGTTTTAATTGCCCAGGCTCATAGAAACCTTGGAGATCTGGCCATCTAAGACGAGCTTCTAAAGCCAACAGAGCAGGGAGTTGCTCTAGAAAGCAACTCAGGCGATTTTTCTCTCTTTGCTTCCCAGAGAAATCAGACTCAAATAAAAAAAAAAAAGATATTTTCATAAGTAATTCCCACTGAATGTATGAAAGTACTGGCATTTTATTAGGAAACATTGAGAACCATTCAGGAATACAGGTACTTGAGGAACAAGCACAAGCCAAGAAGTTTCAGAACCTCAGTAGCAGCTAAATGTTTGACTGAAAGACCAAACATAAGTGCCATGTGCAAATCTATAATCTTGGATATTTTTTCCAGCATTTTCTAAGAATATCTAAATAAAATACTATCTGAAAAATGCTGACTTGCATAAAAATTGCATTTCCCTTAAAGTGGAAATTTTAAACTACCTCAGCTTAAACAATTGTACTTATAAACAGGAGAGCAATATTAAGTACCATAAGCCTAGGATGATTATCTAATAGTTTATGCAAAACAAATGCGATGTGTAATACAGAAGTGAAACTTCTGTAGTCTTAAGCATATCCTCACAGCCAATATCTTTTTCTTTATTAAAAAATTTTCTTTCATATCTTTCCGCAAACTCATGTGTTTTTCCTTTCCTTTCCACTTTGTACATTCCTCCTCTCCACATCCCCCCATTTATTTGTTTTCTTTGCCTGGTGTTATTCTTTGTATTTAAAATAAGGGAATGACTAGAGGTCACTTTAAACATAATATAGCTCAGACTGCTGTAGTGTTACCGCTTCACTTCTGTAATACACTGTTATGTTACTATATTGAATGGTAAGTTAAAAGTTTGCAACTGTGGACAGTCATTCAATTTTACTAGTGACAAATTGGTGCATATAAGACAAAAATCAGAGCTATTCTAGCATGATTGTAGGGATAGACAAAAAGTTGAATTTAATTCTTAACTATAGCTAAGATATTTAATTAAGATATTTTCTTTTTTTACTGGCATCAACTTCCAAAAACTAGCAGTGAAAAACATGAAAATTGCAATAAAATACTATGCAAGTGAAATGTTTATACATACTTTTCTTTTGTAATATTTCCATTTGCTTGCGTGCTGTTTGTTTCAACATTTGGATTTAACTACTTGATTCTTAATACATTTCAGTCAGTCAATAAATACAGTATATAAGCATATTAAAATGGAGGGGGTGAGAGACAGCATTTTTCTATTAAGAATTGTCAACAAAATCCTTGAAAATGAAACGAGCTGACAACTATAATTGGAGCAGATGCGTAAAGTACCGTTATAGCACATTGCACCATCAATTATGTGTCAAGCATGCTGCCAAATATTAAGTGTTCTGACCTTTGTTATTAATAATAGAGGCAGACACTGGGGACATGCGAAAGACAAATAATGTAATGCGTGGAAAATCTATTATAAATTTGGTTTTGTTAATGGATATAGAGCCTATTTGGTATCCTGCGCCTCCCCTTGTAAGCTATAATTTTATGAAAAACTGGACATACCGTTTAGTGGAAAGCCATATTGTGCAAAACATACTTTGATAGACTAAAAGTTCCCTAAGTTAAATAAATAATAATGAGAGAGTGCTTGTCATCAAGCTTTACTGGTTTTTTTATATGTGTATTTGTCTTTTTCCCTCCTTGGGAAATAGCATGGAAGAAGTGAAATGAGGCAAGTTTGTCATTACTGTATTCACCATTCCTTCTTGTATTTTGCTCAATATCATCTATCATCTTGCAGAGATTGGCTGGTCAAAGGCTTAGTCAATGTCTTTCTCCAGAATATAGCTTCTAGTATTTTTAGGTGATCATGTAGGACAATGTCGATAATATGTAAAAATGATAAAAGCAGTAGAATGGGCAACCAAAGGGCAGCGATAAATCCTTGTGAAGTGAGTGGTGATCAGAAGAGGGGAGAGAACAAAAGCCCTCTAGTGATCAAGTTGGTTTCCCACAGTATATTTGGAAGTTTGAATTTAAGCCAGCTTTACAAGCAAATGACTTTATTAAACTAAGTACAAAATAATTCTGATGCAGTAATGATGATTCATATTTTAAAAGAAGTAATTATATTTATCTGCTCCAGAAATTGTTTTCCTTTTGTTCATTTTAAGTGAGCACTTCAGGTTGTAGGCAGTATTCTCTATCCTTCACATACTCTGGCCCATGGAATATCCAGGAAGAAATGTATTTGAAACAATACTTTATTAAATTAGATACGATACTTTTAATAAAGCCACCCATTTCTTCATGTTTTGACTTTTTTCATACATATTTTATATATATATACACCAAATTTTCTGTCCAGCTAGAAAGACATGACTTAATTTCCTAGCCAAAGAGGATTTCATCAACAGACATTATTTCTAACAAATGTAATTTCTTTGCTGCTCCATAACCTTGACTTCTTATCAACTAAGTAATTTGAGTTTCAGTACTTAGTTTTCTGATAATCTAGGCCTGTACCTCAAATATCTGAAACAGCCAACATGTTGTCTATGGTGGGCTGCACAGGCTTTGAAGTGATTCATCAAAAGTTGGTGAACCTTTGGTTGGATTCTCTTTTCATGTCACCCCCATGATCTGCTGGTACCTCCTAGGATCAGCTGCTAGGTGACTAAACAGAGTTTCCATTCCAGTGCCTTTTACATAATGGCCTGGCATCCAGCCTTGTGACAGGATGTGCACGCCATGACCTCCCGTGCCAGGCGTTATTCCCATCACGTGGCGGGCACGCATCTGCGACGCTGGCGTTTACTGCTTCCCGTTTCTCAAGGGGCATGTGCTGCAGCGCTCTCAGGAAACAGCCCAGCAGGAACAAGGGTACTCAAACCCTGCTCTTTTCACCTCTTGAGAGAGATAAAAGCAAGCAGACAGAGGCCGAATTAGTTGTTTGTTCAGCTTGGATTTTTGTCTGTGACCCACTGATTGAGAACCTGTGTGGCATCCTGCAAGGAGCGTTGGGGTGGTGGGGAGCGAGATGCTCTATGTTGCCAGTGAATTTGAAGGCAAGGCCCCAAGATACCGCTTGCTGGGTGGCTGGGCTCAGAGATGACCCTTCCTATGGAGGCAAGGAAAGAGATGAAGCCCTGAATGAGCGCGTTTCTGAGACTGAGAGCTTGATTATTGAAATCTCCCAGGACAAAGTAGTCCGTCATGACACTGTGGTTAGCGAGGCTTCAGTGAAAACTTTTTTTTTAACTTCATAACACTTTGACATATAAAATGATTTTGAAATCCGTATTAGCTTTGGCTTCTGTGTTTACCTGTGTTTATGAAATTGAGTTCTGTGAATCTGCCTTACCCTGAGGTGTTTCTCCCATATTTGACACCTGATAGAGAAGTGGATGCGCCAGCATGTGCCATGTTGTACCCTTTTAGTTGTTTGTGAGACAAGGAGCAGTTTTGGTTCAGGTGAGCTGGTTCGGAACTGGTTGTTTTACTCGTCCAATGTTCAAAATCACTGAACTGAAAGAATTTCTTTTTTGTTAGTCGTGGAGTTTGATAAGGAGTCTTAAATTCCAGTCTCTGTAGTTTCTTATTTCTGGCTTTAGACACACGTTTTACGCTGTTACAGCCTCGTGTTTCTTGGGACTAGAGCAGCAATTTTGTAGTAACCTGTAGAGTCTGCAGCCAGTTGCTTGACACTGTTACAAAGCGTACCTCTATATTTTGTGTCTCATACTGCCATCTAAGGGCCACATAGGCTGAGAAGGTGGGGAAAGGTTCTTCAATACTTCTCTTTCTTCTTAATGCCCTTCCCTTTGAAAGGTCAGCAATTCACGGATGAGAAGGGTGGGCAGGGAATAACAGCAGTCCTTTGATGCAATATGTTGTTTCATCTAAGAGGATAAAGGAATCTTCCAGATAAGTGAGAAATTAGAATGTAAACCTCCGTCGTTGTCTTTAAGGAAAATGCAATTGCAATGAGTTTGTGTAAAAGCCAGCAAATAAGAAAGCAAGGTTACAGGATTTGAAGCTACTCTTGAAACAACAAGTTAAAGAGGTGTAGTGCTTAGAGTCCTGAAGAGTTTCAGGGGAAACTCTTAGCAGTGAGGGAGCGTACAGTTCAAATTCTTAAAGGTACCAAAGTCCTTGACTCCTACTGATTTAAGGATTAGTGCTTTATAAAAGAATTTGGTTATTGAGATTTCCCCTATAAAGGTACAAAATAACATGAATTATTTTCTTTTTTTTTTTTTTTTCCTAATTTCACCATTTTTGCATTTCTGGATGTTTCAATTTTCCTGGAGTAAGGGAAATTGGGCAAAAATTTGGTGTTACTTTAATAGTATGTGATATTAAATAACATGAACTTCATTTAAATATTTTGGGGTTTAAGCATTCAAAATTTTAGTACGAAAACTTTTCTTTCCAGAACAAAAATGCTTTTTTCTTTTTCTTTTTTTTTAATCTACAAACTGTACTTGTACAGGCTTAATGCCTTTCTCACACAGATGTTTTGAACTACGAGTGTAATAAAGCATTAGTGGTAGAAGCAAAACATTTCAGTATTTGTCAATATAGTACTCTTGGCACTGAGTGACAAAAGCAGGTTTTGTAACGAGGACCCCTTTGAACACAACTTTATTTTACAATGTTTGAGTTGTTTTTCAGGCTAGTTTCCAGCAAACCTTGTGTAATAGAGAAAGTAATTAATCTTGTGTGTTACTTTGACAGGCTCATGCAAGCAAAGACCTGGAAGAGCAGTTGCGGTCTGTGTCCAGTGTGGATGAACTCATGACAGTACTTTACCCAGAATACTGGAAAATGTTCAAATGTCAATTGAGGAAAGGAGGTTGGCAACACAACAGGGAACACTCCAGCTTTGACACAAGATCAGATGATTCCCTGAAATTTGCTGCAGCACACTATAATGCAGAGATCCTGAAAAGTAAGTACAGGAACAAAACACGTTCTAACAGACGATAAATTAAAACCCAAAGGCTTGACAGTTGTGTCAAAAATATTTGGAAATCAGTAAACCACATAGTGGCTATAAAAGAAAATCTTTGACAGTCAACCTTCCCTAATGAAATAAATTGCTCTGGAGAAGTATTTTTGGTACATCCATTGTAAGAAAGATACAGACTACTTTCTTAGCTCAGTAGATATAAGAAGTTAAGTGTTTGTCTTCAGGTATAAGGAATCCTGCTTTGTAGAGGCTGTAATGATTTTGCAGAAAGCAAAGAGGACACTAATAGTTGGATTCATTGAACTATTTCTGCTCTTTTTCTGCAATTACGTCATGGCTGGTAATGCTTTCTTCTTTTACATGTTATTGCTTTAGGAGGCCAAATAATCCACTTGTACCTTTTTCCTGTTACAAGAGGGCAGTTGTCATGATGTTATGCTGAAACCAGAAAAAAACCAACTTTGAAACAAGTATTGCAGTACCCCTGAGTGTTTCAGATGGCCTGGATAAAAATGTAATTAGCTGACAGTTTAAGCAAGTGCTTGCAGCTAGAGGAACAGAGGATTTATAGTGGGGGGTGTACTTTTTGACATGATACTGGAAATAATGTACCTTAATGGAGACTTTAAGGTAGGTGAAATTTCCATTTTCTCCGAGTAGCCTACCAAAAACTGGCTCCAAGAGATAATAAAGGGCCTGTACAGCTGCAAGTCTCATGGCTGTGTAGTGTAAGATTGCATTTGGAAAACAGCTCTGTAACACTATGTAAAATGTTTGCCCACATTTGCGTGGGTAATCTGGGCACAAATACCACCTTTCAGATTAAATCATATGGTGTACATAATTGCTAAATAATAACCTTTTTCTTTAAATTATACTCTTGTAGTTAACTAAGTAAACATTCAAATTAATTTCACATTAAGTGTGTAGGCATCAAACGTAATGTTTTTAATATATAGTATCCAAGCAAAGGACAGTGTGGGACCGGTTAAAATTACTTTGTGGAGATTTGCAGTGCTCCTTTATACTTCATTCAAGGTGATACTTACCCCAGGCAAAGGAGAAAGGATATGTATTGCTTTAGCTGTGGATGTCGTAAGATCTACCCAACCTTGTTAGGTTCCCTCTTGGCTCCACTGTGACTTTTCTTCTGCTTCATGACGATATGTCACATCTCTATGAAGAAGAAAAATTAGCTAGAAGTTAACATACAGAGATACGTATTTCACTGAATAAAGGGTGTGACTAGCAATGCATGTTCTAGTTCTGAACTTAAAAAAAAAAATCCTACTAATTTACTGTAGGAGACTATTGTTTTAAACAGTTACTTTATAACACATGAAATTCCCTATAACTTGGCAGGTATTGATACTGAATGGAGAAAAACTCAGTGCATGCCACGTGAAGTGTGTGTGGATGTGGGAAAAGAGTTTGGAGCAACTACAAACACCTTCTTTAAACCCCCATGTGTATCCATCTACAGATGTGGAGGTTGCTGCAATAGTGAAGGACTCCAGTGCATGAATATCAGCACAAATTACATCAGCAAGACAGTAAGTTCTCATACTTATTACAGTCCAAGTGGTCCTTGCAATTCCGTTTATGATCATGCATATCTTAAACTTTGTTATTGCTACTACAAAGAAGAAAAAAAAATCAATTCCAGAATACATAGAAAAAACAGCTGAAGAGACTACTGCGTGGAAGAAAATGTTTAACACTCTTTTTCTCAATTTATTTATTTGGAGGGGGGGAGGGGAGTATCCTGTTCTCAATTTTGAGACTATCCATGAAACTTAATTCCTTTTTGGTTGTTTTTTTTCCATCTACCATTTGCCTGCTGTATGAGGCAAGGACTCTCTGGAAAACTACCCTGTGTAATTTACTAGTGAAGACTATTTTAGGTCATATACAGACAAGATACATGTTGCAAGTAAAGCCTTTTAAGAACTAAACTTTACTATATTAAGAGATACTAGTATAGTGTACCCATTTGTTTTGTTTTAATGCCTCTTCCTCAGGTCTGTGTGCAGTTTTTATTCTTCAAGTTCAGGGGTAGTGATCAGGTAGGAGTGTGCAGAGATTATGCATTGAGCCTGTGAGCTGGCTTTAAAGGAAAACATACATGCATAATTCTGTTTTAAGTAGCTATAGCAATTATCACATTATCTTACAACATTTCCCTCAAAAATAATGTAAAAATAGCCATGCTTCAAAACATTTGCTAGGGTATTTTGCTTTTGTTACAGTATTTGGTAAGTTTTTTGTTGGTTGGGGGCTTTTTTGCTTTTTACCTCTTTCTGATGCTTTGAAGAAAACTAATTTTAGTGTAAATCTTGCTTCCTTTTCAACTAGATTCTTCTAGCTGAAGATGCAGTACATGTTTATAAGGAAGATACACAACTGTATAGCCAATGATAAAATCATAGTCCATTGAAATGTCATTCTTTTATCATGAAACTTCTTAGTGCTCTGAGCCTTCTTGAAAGGAGATTAGGAAAAGGGGTGTAAAGAAAACAGGGGGGGGAAAAAAAAACCCCTCATTTTTAAAAATACATTTTCTATCCTCATTTCTTACCAAATCTGTCTGAAATGGTATATTCTACCAAGAATTTTCAATCCTAAATTTAAGCTAGTGGTAGAGAGCCACACAGCACAGGAATGAATAATGTAACTCAAATAGCTTAAACAGGGAAAACTACAACACTGATTTTGTTCAGGCGCATAGTTATGCCCACAAACAGCTGTCCTAGTTTCACTTGCTTGAAAGATGCAAATATAATTTTCATGTTATAAACCAAGAAATATGACCTTTTTTTTGGTGGGGGGGATGACAATATGTATTTATAAAGTTTATCTTACTGGAATAAAGGATGATCTAGTTACAGAGAGAGTTGTTCCATTTAGCACAGATTTACTGGTCTTTGAGCACCTTATCAATTTGGGGTAAATAATCCCTTTCTATTCATCTTTATGTTCATATCTATTGAGTGAAGTAATATTTTTTTCTGTCTAGTAGAAAATGTTTAGTACTGAGTTTCTTTTTTAAGTTCTTGATGTCATTGGTGATGATATGATATAGGAGTAATTAAAGATTTGAGAGACTCTGGAAAGGAAAATGTTAACGGACATTTAAAGAAGAAGAAGAGGCAATAGCGTTGTTTTGTTTTCTGACCTATTTTGTAAAAGCAAGCAATTTAATCTCTGAGTTTTCTATCTTGCTTCTGCTTTCCAGTTTTATCTGGTCCTTGACAGAATGCAGTTTTAAAAAAACCTTATAAAGGAAGAGAGCTATAGCTATATCTCTTCATCTGTCATCATCTCAAATCTTTTTAAAATTATGTGACCACAGCTTACCCTATATCAGATGAGAATTAGGAAGAAAAAAGTATTGGATTCAAGACCCTTCTGTGGAATTCAGGTACCCTACACAGCTATTTTCACTACTGTTTTCCTTTTATTTCCTGAATTAAATGAGAACAAATGGTTAGTAACCAGGCATCTTTTGTTTTTTCATAAGTCACCATTTTTGTAGCTTTATTTTTGGTGCATAAATTCCATAAGATAACTTCATGCTGTTCACCCTGCAGAAAAAGTGCTTAATAGGAAATTAATTTCTCAGCTGGAGGTCTTACTGTGAGGGGAAGCTCTAGCATTGGTTCCAGACATTAAAATCTAAAGAAAGTTGATATCAGCTTTCATCAAAATTAAAGAGAAAAGAGCTAAGCATCGAATTTATTTTCATGCATAGCAAGTAATTGATTGGCAGGAGAATGGACTATAGGTCGGATGTTCCCAGATTGGCTTGTGGAACACTGTGGTGGTCCAGAGAGAGGTCAGAAGTTCTCAAGTTCAGGCTGTGTTCCTCCTTTCTACTTACTTAACTTTATTAAAAAATAAAATAAAATAGAAAAGTATTCTGCATTGCTTTTAATACCATTTTTTCCCCAAAAACTGTTTCTATAGTTGCTAATGGGTGTTTAATCATGATTGGGGTATGAGACAGTTTCTTAATTAAGATGTAGTTCGAGGTCTGTGAAAACATTTGAGGACCCCTAGGCTAATTCATAAAATGCAGTACATCTTTTTCTTCTCCTTGATCTGTGACACTGCAGTAGCCCAACTTCCTGAGTGATGGTTTCTCTAATAAAGATCTATGGGGAAGGTGGTTGGTTGGTTTTTGGTTTTGTGGTGTAGTTGTGTTGGTTTTCTCTCTAATTCGTTTTTAATCAAGCAGCAGTTCTGTTTCCATGACATGAGTAATTCAACAGCAGTGACAAAGATTGGAACTACCTGGTGCAGCAACAGTCTGTCCCTCATCTGTACTTTTTTATGCCCCACCTATAGGTACTTGCTTATAGGTCAAAAGGAAGCAGTGAGAGATGTCGAAGAGCCATCTCATTCCAGTCTTCCTCTTGGTTGGCAGGATGGACATTTTTTTGGCTTCTTTCAGATCATTTGATATAAAGGTCCTAAATCTTCTTGTTCATGGTTACAGTAATAGTCCCTCAAGGGAAAACATCTTTCCAAGCAGTTTGAAATTAGATTTAGAGGAGCTTTTCTCACAGGAAACAAGTTAACAGCTTGAAATTGTTTGTCATATTTGAGATGTACATGGTGTTCCTTTACACAATTTGGAGATGCATATGTCACAAGAATTTTCAGTAGTTTTGAACTTTAGCATTTAAGCCTTTTCCCATGCATTTTTCTATGTTAGATTGATGATTGTAATGATATGGTAGGTACTATTAATAGTGGGAGATATATCAGTATAATTTTGAAATGGGTTTTTCTGTTAAAATTTCTGGAAAAAAAAAAGTTACTCAAATATGAAAAGATAGAATAAGGAACCCAAGCATATTTAACAGATATAAAGTATGTTATATCAGATAAGTTACCTGTTGTTGTATTACACATCAGCCTTGAAATACTATTTTTTTCAAAAAAGTTAGATAGTAAAATAAATAATTATGATGTACCACTTCTCAAATAGTTTATTTTCACTCTAATAGAGATGTTTAGAGTTTTGAAATCAAACAGTCTTATATCCTTAGCTTAAAAATCTCTACAGACACATTGTGCTCTGTTGCACTGGTTATATTTGGCTGGCCTTACTGACACTTTAGGAAATGCAAAGATCACAAGTGATAGAAACTGAGCATAAATCAATTTAAGGGAAGCTTGCCAAAACAAACCACAGTCCATCAGAAGAATATAGTGTAGTTAATGTATATCTAGGAAAAAAATCATACATAAATCCTATGTTTGAAAAGTATCAAGAATGATAAGCTTCCCTCATCCTGATGTGAAAATAACAGTTTTGATTATAATTCACAAGTCAGTAATCACAATAATAATTTTATGTATGCTGACACAATGGAAATTGGTACATATGATGATAGTGCTGAATAAACTAATTTAGCCACTGAAGCAAAGAAATACTTTATATAGAAATCACCATTTTTTTCTGGAAAGTATGGCACGAAGTCCTTCCAGTCTAAAGAAGGAGCTGTCAACGCAGTGAATCAAAAATATATGTCTTTCTAAGGATCAGTGAGGAGAAATGTATGGGAAATTTTTTTGCAGGAATTTTGATAGTGCTTTTGGTCAAGCATTCAGAGATTCCTGTCTGCTATTAGATTTTTTTAATTTTTTAAAGTATTTTTTTAAGGAGCTGAGCGCTCTGGGTTTTGGGCCAGAGTCTGGTCCCATTCTCATTTCTGTTCTCCACTTCAGCTCTATAAATGGCTAAAGGACGGGCACTGGAAAGAGCCTACTACAGGGTGGCTGGACCATGCAGCTCTGGCCTGGAAACTGTTGCAGGGATGGCTGAAGAAATAACAAGGTTGCAAAGATGGTGGGGCTGGTGCCCTTGGCATCACTGTAATTGCAGGTTGTGGAGTGCCAGAGGCCAAGTCTGGTTGCACTGAGCAATTCAGAGACACCTTTGCCCGATGTCCTCTTGCTGTGCTTCTCACCTGAGAAGTACAGTACACAGAGCATATGCACTGATTTTCAAGGATTTAAAAAACTGGTATGTAAAAGAATGAAAATCCAGGGAAAAGAATTGTTCTTAGTTGCACACATGACTGTAAAAGTGGTCTAATTCCTTTGTATTAGTCTGAAGAGTTCTTTAATTATATACCTGTCTGTACCTGGGAGGCAGAAAATACAAGCTTAAGAAGCTGATGTTCAGGTCTGCAGGATATGCTGCCTTTTAATTTTGGCTGGTGCAGAGGAACAAAGGTTAAGTATTAACTCTAAAATACATCTTATTACAGTTTGTGTAATCCAAATCTAGAAGAAAAATGACCTTCCTTCATTTTTTAAAGATGAACAGTTCAAGTTTGGCTAGTTTGAAAGACAGATATCAAGTCATCTTGATAATGGTCAGTGGGAACTACAGAAAATACATCTCCTTTAAAAATAATTTAAAAAAAAAAAAAAGTCCTGCAACCAAAACTTTTTCCTTTTTTTTTTTTAAAAAAAAAATCCATATAGTACCAATGACTGTCATGTTTTTAGCACACAATCTCTATTTAAGCCATTTACT